GCAAACTGTATACGCACCCCAAGCCCTGCTTGAGCTTTTCGTCGCGGTCGATCTCTTCGAACGCGGAGCCGCGACCTCATTCCGTGCTTACCGTGCCCTGGTAAGTTACACGCCCTTCACACACGGACAATTGACTGAAATGCCGCAACGGTAGAATATCCTCCGCACCCTGCGCAACAAAGCGATCGCCGCGTACGCGAAGCATACAAGAGATCCGGCGGCAGAGCTGCCCATTGAGACCGTGTGCACGGAAGCGGCGCTCGACATCCTCGCGGGCCACACGCGCGTCGTCGTGCAGACCATTCTCGCACGAGACCGCTGCGCGCAGCATGCGCCGAAAGTGTCCCCAACGCTGCCCGACACGACGCCAAGCCCATCCGTCCTGCCAGACACTTTACCGACCGCAACACTAGCCAGAACAGGGACCCTCGACCCGTCGCTTGTGGAGTATTTTTCTGCGCCCCGGCCCGAATTCGGGAGGGTTTCTAACCCAAAGAGGGTTGTGAACCAAGTGGAGAACGGGTTTGGTGACGAGCAAAACCAGTTCCAGCATGAGGGCGACAGCGCGATGCCGTTCGCGATCCCGCCTTTCTTCATGGAACAGCAGGCGGCGCCACAGTGGAACGACTTTCTGCAGAATTTGTAGTGGTGACGCAAACCTAGATGTCTCGTCCGCGATCTGATTTAGAAGGCGAAATTTTATGCTTCCAGGAAATTCGGAGACTACATCATACATGGATTCAAATCCAGAGAAAAATATCGCTACAGAAAGCAAACCCATAAACGCCTCTAATACGCGCTAACCTGCGCCGGGGCCCCGTTTGGAAACACCTCTTTGAACAGCTCCGGGTAGTGCCGCTCTCCGACGTCCGGGTGACTCCTGCATTGAGTAGTTCAGTGAGTGGTAGGGAAAACACGGAGGTGGAGAAGCGCACTTGACCCGCCCGATGAGGTTGACGCGTCCTGAGGGCTCGCGGTCGAATTCTGTGAAGTTGACGGCTGTAGGTAGAGGCATCGGCGGTCAGCGGAATGCATAACATGCAAGGCAAAGGCAGAAGTAGTACTCACAATCAGTAGCGCTGACGGACCCGCGGGCCTCGCGAAGCTTGAGGATCTCTGGTGGGACTGAAGATAGGAAATTGATTACAATTCAGATTTATATTTGAGGAATGTGCAAAGGGATGACGCACAATTGAGAACATGCTCCGTGAGCTTCACGTCAAGACCGATGTTTTGGAAGAACGGGACGGAGTAGCGGGGCCCGCTGCCACCCGAGGGCGAGATCACGCGGTGGGACGTCGCGCGCGCCAGGCCCTGCGTCGCGAATTCCAGGGCTGCCGAGGGGCATTTATACAAGGGAGAAGATATGCATGGCAGTAACAGACGCACCGCGTCCGATGTTGACGACGAACGTTCCCGGAATGGGTGGGACGTCGATCCAATCTCCTGACAGGTTCTGCACCTGAAGCCCTTTGTGGTCCGTAACCTGGAGCAGCTGTATTCCGGAATCAATGCTGGGTAACTAAAAGCGGGGATTGAGACCCACGAAAGTCAGGAAACCGGCGTCGTAGTGCGGCCCGACACCTTGACTTCCTTCCTCCGTCTGCGGATACTGCACGATCTTACCCCGATGTTGCATCAACTCATCGCGGTCATAAAACTGCGATAACGCGTCGTGCGGCAGGCCGAACGCCTCCGCGAGGAGACCGATGAAGTCGTAGCTGAGCTGCTGCACTTGCAGAAGATAGCGCTCCATGGTCGCTTTGAAACCCGGGATAAGCTCTTCGTCCGGCCACTGCGTGCCATCGTCAGAACACTTGAGTCCCCAAGTTATCAATTGAAAGCGCACCTGCGAAGGTCCCCACAGACTCCAGTAATCTGGATCCCCACGCCCCTCTACCGCGCGGCAGACGTGCGGAGTGGCGATATCGAATTGCTCCCGCCAATCCGTGCGCCCCTTGGTGAATTCGGCGCCAAGTTTGTTGTAACCCAGGAAGTGCTTGCTGTTAACCATGCTGATCTTGTGCTTAACTTCTTCAGGAAGGGCGAAGAGCCGCGGGATGTATGCCACTAGCTCATCTGTATCGACGGGGACGTTGGAGAGATAGAGAAAGCCGACGTTGATCAATGCATTCTGCAACTCCTTGATGAACTGCGGTTTCAGCGCTGGGGATTTCGTCTGCGAATAATCGAGAACAGGAACCGACGAGAAGTTGGGGGACGACATTGGATGTGGACGAGAGTTCGAGGAGCGCCCACGGGCGTGAGGATGCAATCGCGTCATCTGACGCGATCCGTCGATTCACAGAATCCAGACAATACGCCGAAGAAAATACCCAGTGTGTTCTAGACCGAAGGAATGTGTCATGAAGAGACGAATTGGCGTCGGTTGCATTTTCCATCGGGGTGCAGACGACTGTTAAGAAAAAAAGCATGAAAATTTACTGGACCGCCGAACAAAGCCGACCATCCAGACTTGGTCCGATATTACCGATTCCACATTGAATTCGTCGATTGGCATTGTATGTTGGCCAGTTCAAGTCCTCCCGGGCTAGTGTTGCCGATGTCCGGTCAGGTCCGGTTTTTTGCCAAAAAATCCGAACCCCAAACCCGACCTGGGGTCCGGTTCTCCCAAATCCCTCGAACCTCGGACCGGACATGGGTTCGGTTCATTTGGGGTTCAGAACAGGTTCGAACCTGAAAGAAATTCTCACGCACAAAATGTGAACTTTGCGACATATTCATCCACTATGGCGGTCAATCTGCACATTTAATAAAAACGGGTTTTTTTCACCATTTGAGAGTTTTTTTGGTGCTTTTGAGCACATGAACAATTTTTTGGGGGCCGTTGACAGTACCTGATTCTTTCAGCACTGCCGTGATAGTTTTCTCTGTTGGAGTAAATTTTTATGTCCCTACTCAAATGTTATAATGAGGTTCAAAAAGAAAGTTTCTTCATTTTCAAGTTTTTATTTATTTCTCACAACATGATTAATATTGATTGTTTTTTTCGAACAAGATTTTTTTTCCTCTGGAGTGAATAACTTTCTTTTGTCAATACGAGACTTTGTTTCACGGTCTGAGAAAGTAAGTTCCGTTAGGGGGCAGTGCTAACCCTAATTGATACAGCCCGGTCGTTGCGGTGTTGCCTCATTCTTCAAGTTACTAGCGGGTAACCCCAATGCCTTTGCCATACTTCCCACTGGAGCTTATCGCCAACAACATGCAGCTCCTTATAGATGATTTCCCCCAAGTGTTGTACAACTCCTCCTTGGTACACAGTTCCTGGAGACATCCCGCCCAGGCCGGCCTTTTACTCACTGTTTAACTCGGTCATGGTCTGCAGAGTGGGTTTGCACCAGGCCCCATAGATCTGCCACCTATAGGTATGCCATCAGGTACATTCCAGGCATTCAACAAGCTCTTGCTTCATTCTCCCCATTTCGCACCACCCTCAGTCTTGGAGTACGGCCATCACACAGTACAGAATTCCCCGACTCCGACTCTGACGGCAAACCCGGCCACTGAATTGGGCTTGATCCATTTGACTTGGCACTAACATCCTTCTAATAAATCTAATTTTCTTCGGGTACATTATCGAGTGGCCGGGCCGTACAGACATCAAATTAGGGTTAGCACCGCCACCTAACGGAACTTACCTTCTCGGGTCGAGAAACAAAGTTTCATATTGACAAAAGAAAGTTGTTCAGTACAGAAAAAAACATTCATGTTCAAAAAAAAAAATCATGTTGTAAGAAAGAAAGAAAAACTTGAAACTGAAGAAACTTTCTTTCTGAACCTCAGCATAACAATTCAAGTAGGGACATAAAACTTCCTTAACAGAGAAAACTATCATGATGGTGGGCTAAAAGAATCAAGTACTGTCAACGGCTCTAAAAAAACTTGTTCATGTGCTCAAAGCACCAAAAAAACTCTCAAATGGTGAAAAAAACCCGTTTTTATTAAATGTGCAGATTGACCGCCATAATCCACTGTAGGGCACAAGAATGAGTTTCTTGACACCCAAATCATGGTTTGGGGCTCAGCAGTGTGCAGGTACCTCCAAAGGAATAAACTATATTTTTCAATGGCCTCACTGGACCTCGGAACTCGGAGGATGGACATAATTTTGAGTGTTCCGAGGGTGATGGAATGCTTCGGCCTGTTCTAGGTCACTGTAAGCTGCAGTTTGAGTGAAGGTATAGTTGAATAATCTCGTAAAATCACTAACACACACCTAATTTTCCAGCGGGTCCGGTCAGGTTCATTCAGGTTCGGGGAAATTTAAAAAAATGCGAACCCCAAACTGGACCTGAGGTTCCGTCCGGTCCTTGATGGCTCCAATTGAGGTTCGGTCCGGGTTCGGTTCAGGTTCAGAATCGGTTCTGAATCCGACCCCGGCAACACTAGCTCTGTTATAACATCTGTTTATAAGAGACTATTCGGATGGTTGCAAAGAAACTGAGCAACTTGATATGAGATTTGGCATGTTTCCCTTACATAGGGCCCTGCCTTTTGAGTATGACCTTCCTCTTTATCCTCCTCCAATAGTATCGGTGGTGCTTGAGAGCTAATGAGTCTCTCTTGACAAACACAGACTTTACCGTGCCTAGTTCATGCCTCGCTCGATAAACGATATGTACTATATTCAAGTTGATCTACGCAAAATTCAACCGTCCTGTGAGCTATCGGTCTATTATAAACACACGCCAAAACAGATCTTAGTATTCGTTCTAATCCGTTACAAAAACTTTTTAAAAAATTGCTCGTCACATTCACTATATGCCCAAATCACCCATCTCGGATTATTCACTGCTAGGGAAATGATTTCCAGTATATCCAGCTCTGCTAGGCGTTTTATTTCCGCGCTATCCGCCTGTCTTTGCTCGTCTTCGTCAGACGGTATTCGTGCACAGAAAATATTCATCAATAGTCCGCCCATTTGAAACCATGGTACAAAGCTTCGCCAATGCCTGCGCGTCAACAAGACAAACATCCACAGCACCGTAGCACAGTTGGAAGTGCGCCGGTCTCATATCTGCCTAGGCTGAAGTAAATGAGGAATCCGGAGGTCGTTTGATCGAAACAAGCCGGTGCTATTCTTTTTGTTTTGTGCGACGCGGCCTTAGGCCCCTAAACATTCATGACTCACGTAGGAGTTAGTCGAGTCAGACTTGGAGACGGCATAGACGCGTTGTTTACGGCCTCTGATATGCACCATTTTCATGGAGAACATAAAACTGAACCATGAATCTCACCCGTTTCTTTTTACCGTCCAGATTTGGAGCATTCGAAGATTGTGTGTCCTTATTTGTGACTCGTTGTAGACGCGTCCGGTCACATGATCTCTGTGGTTCAACTGTTGAATTTGTTCCGAAACCGTTACAGCTTAGGTCGTCGAAGACTGACATGCCCGACGGAGAAGTAGGCGGATAAAATTCTCTACAATACCACAATACAGGTCGGGAGAAACTTGTTCATCTCCCGCGTCGGTTTTTTGAAGTTTATTCAACAAGCACTTCCCTTAGCTGGCCATTCCGTGAATTCGAGTCCTGGAATACCGTTGAGATCCCAGAGAAAGAAGGCCATTTTTTCATCTAGGCCGCTAACATCGGGGCCCACGTAGCTCACCCCAAATTATCATCGTGTTTGATCACTTATTGCGCCCGCCCCCAACACTTCACCGGAGTCACTGTCCTAACTCTTTCAGCGTGGAGCATTTGGGAATAAAGCGGCGCGCATTTGGCGGCGTCGATTATCGGATTGAGTGCATTGATAGCATTGGCGCCGAGACGCTGCCGGACACTGCACGACGGCCGAGACGCTGAAATCATGATTCCATCATCCATTGGAGGGCGGGTGTCAGGGTTCGGGATCTTAACATCAGGTCGGTGACGGAAGCGGAGATTAGAAGATTCAGACAGACAGACAGACAGGCTTAATTAGCTATGAAGTGACCTTTTGCGGGCGCCGCTTGGGCGGAACCGCTTATACCGCGCCACAACGCTCTCAAAGTTCGCGTTACCTCTGTCTTTCTCTCAGCCTCCAGCCACCATGCCCTTCGAAACGGTGACCCTCAACGACGGCCAGAAGGTGCGGGTGCCTGTATCACCAGCTTTACTGACTGACCGACGAGCGTGTATGTAGATCCCGACAATTGCCTTCGGTGCGTTTTCCTTGATTTTCTTGTGAGAGATTACTAAAGGAGAGTGGCGTGTTAAGGGACGGGGAGCATCCACAAGCGCACGGATGTGTTCCAGATGGTGCACCAGGCGCTTGAGGCGGGGTTTTGGCACCTTGATACCGCTGCGTGTGCCTACGCAGGTTCTTATCGTGTTGCGGGAGCTGACTGAGAGCATTGCAGTCTATCAGAACGAGGGTTCGTCATGGCTCTGTCTCTCGCTCCTTGAAAATGATTACGATTACTGGTGGCAGAGTACGTGGGGAAGGTGATCCACGAGAGCGGGCTCGCGCGCTCGGAGCTGTACATCACGACGAAGTACGTACTTGGGGAGGTGGAGGAGGAGATTCAGACGAGGAGATTCAGACGAGTCTTTCGAACGTGCGTTGATTCTGAATCTATTTCTGAAACTTGGAAATTTTATTATTACTATTTCATCAACTCTAATCTTACTTGCGCCAGGAATCAGCTCGGCCTCAAGTACGTGGACCTCTACCTGATCAACCAGCCTTCGGTCGTCCCGGATATCGACGGCACCTGGAAGAAATTCGAGGCGATCAAGAAGGATGGGCTAGCCAAGTACGCTCTTCTCTCCAATCCCCACCTCCATTCTCGTTCTCAACCCCATACTATTATTTTTGACACCATTTTCTATTACTCAACCCAACACACCACAGGAGCATCGGTGTAAGCAACTTCACCCTCCCACAACTAAAACGCCTCGTGAAAAACGCGCTCATGCGTCCCGCCTTCAACCAAATTGAGCTCCACCCCTACAATGATGCCGCCCAGAAGGCCCCCATCAAGTGGTCTGCGCAGCATGGGATCGTGACCGAGGCTTATAGTAGCTTGAGGTGCGTTTGCATTTCCATCCTACAAACCTACATATCTGCTTGCATGCTTGCTTGGCACTGAGTATTCGTTTGTGAATTATAAGCTCGATAACGAAATTCCGGGGCGGACCGGTGGACGTGCCCGTCGCCGCCGCCGCCGCGCGTCTCGGGATAACGCCAACACAAGTCCTATTATCTTGGGTGCGCGCAAAGGGCGCGGTCATCGTCACGTTTGTCTACTCGTTCCCTACCCTTCCAAACGCGAATTCGAGTTGATTTAAATCTCCCATAGGACGACGAGCAACAAGGGCCGACTGGAGGAAAACCTCGCTGTTGGAGACCTTCGTGAGATCCCGTTCTCCCTTTCCATTCTTTTTGCATTCCGTCCTCCGGCTGAAGCTTCACCGATCCCTTCACAGCCCCGCTCCCCCCCGTGGACGTCCTTGCCATCGACGCCGCGGGGAGGGCGTTGTATGCGAAAACCGCCGTCGTCGCGGCGCTCACCCTTGCCGTTTGCCCCGGCTTTCTTGTACACCTTTTCGGTTTGCTTTATACGTGGCGGATCTGCTTTCGGGTTCCGAGTGTCGGTTCTGGCTCCGAAAGTAGCCTTGAAGTAGCCCATGTTGTTTATGGGATGCGCCCAGCGGGAGTTCTGGCGGGAGTTCCCCTCGTGGATTAAATGGATCTAGTGGGCTCCTACAGTACATAGGTAGCGAGGTGTTGTGAAGGACTACTTAGCATACTGCGATTTATGTATGTTGCGTCGCAACATACTTGTCCCAGATTCAGTCGTCATGGATATCTAACATTGGAGTGGTGGTATATTTGAAACCGTTTGTAGAACTTGGGGCGCAGCCTGTTTTTTCTTTCTATTTTCCATACTTTTTCAGCCAGAACCGTTCCTGTGAGCTGAATTATCATTCGTGTGGGCGATATACTGCGCAAAAATTAGCCAAAGTTTACTGGTTTTTTTTTGACTACAACTTACATCTGTATAATATGGTTTATCTTGAGTGACAACTTGCACAAAGCTTGCATCCTCAATACTGTATTGATGTCACTTCTTCAAACGGCTTGCAGTTGGCTTGCATCTCGGCAAATTTCGGAGTGATTGCCGAGCTGTTCGGACTAAATTAAGATCAACGGGCCGGGATTAATATACGCGACGGGGCCTCCCGGCCGAGGTGAGGATGCGTTTCTCTGCTAATACTATCGTACGCTCTTCACCGTGCGCGCGTCAAGGCCTTGTAGCGGTGGTGTTCCCTTGCGCCGAATCTACTGGCGGCGGCGGCGGCTGATGCTGCGCGGCGGGGGGACGGTGCGCACGCGCACATCGTGGCGTACAGTCGAGGGTAGACGTCGTGCTGGTCCGCCTGAGTCCAGTTTACTGCTGTCCGGGAGTTCTGATCTTTTTGAATGGCAGGATGGCGCTCGGCGCTCACCTTCGGGCGACATGGTCGGAACGACTCGGAGATCGTGCGCGGCTTCATGGGGATCCTCTTCCTCTTGTCGCTCCGGCTTCCTTTCGCGGTCATCCGCATAGAGTGGAAAAGGCGCCCTCTTTACCCCGCTTGATTGCTCGAGTACTGTGCCCATGAAGGAGTTTTTCCATGGTCCCTTCCCTTAGATCTCATGTCCAGCCTCTCATAACTTACTCGCAATGCAGTAAACTCCGAGACCACTATTTCACTTCCTTACTGTTCGTGGAGTGGGAGTGTTTACCCTTGAAGCGACAGCCGACACCATTACTCATTCAAAGCTCGACAGCAGGAAGCTTTCTTCTGCGCATCCATCCACACCTACTCTTGCGTCTGTAAGGCAAGCTAGGAGTCGTCTAAGGCTCGAATCACCCGGATATCTGCTCGACCAGTCCATCAAAAGATTATGCACTCCAGCCGGCCAGGCGGCGCAAAAAAATTGCGAGCCAGTTCCGCCATCCTTTCAGAAATTGAAGGGACAGAACATTTTTCTGGCGTGCGACCCTCGGACACAACCCTTACGTCCTGAAATGGTCGAGTACGTTCAATTGAGAAAAAGCCGTTGATGCGATCCTCGGCCAGGTTTCAAGATTCAATCTCCTCCCCGGAATAGATGCCGAGGATGGTCCGCAGATACAACGTTGCATTCCGTGTGCATTTCCTTCAGAAAACCGCCTTATAAAACTCAATTGACAGAAAATTGAAATGGGTTCGTTGAAACATTTGACTATTACTTATGTATCTGCTTTCCAGGTGTTCATTCCGCGCCTAGTTTTCAATTTTTTAAGCTAGTCTTCATTCCAGGGTGTAAAAGACTCCGCCAGCAGTATTTCACTGCTTTCAGCCAAGCGCCTACTTAGCCTTTCCCAGTCGATCGCTCCGCCACAGGGACGGACAAATTTAGAGTTGACGACAAGGTAATCTGCACAGGGTGTCGCTACAATTTTCGGAGCGACCAGACCTTCTTTGCCCCTTGCTAGCTTGTCCAGCACAGCGGGGAATCAGGATTTAATTTCGTGGATCGAGCGGGCCTTCTAACTTCCAAGTCAACGTCAACTTTGTTTTCGAGGCTCTACGTACCTATCCTCATCGAGCTCTTGAGGGATCATAGCGAATTGAAAAATCATTGAAGTACGCATGAACCCAAACACATTTTCCATGCCAGCGCTCCGCGCACACCGGCGCAGCCTCAGGTGAGTGGCTTCACTGTCAATGTAAAGTTAACTCGCATCTAGCTAAAACTGGCACTCACTTTACATGTAAATTGAGACGTGGGCATCGAAAGGCGATTGGTGGACTTGCTCAAGTGCGGTAATGAAGCCGGCGCGTGATATACCGCTCCGCCTGTGAGTTTGAGCCCGATTCAAGAATTCGAAGATTGGTAGCCAGCTCCGTTACTGCGTCTCCCTTCTACATGCTGTCCTTAGAATGAATTTAAATCTACATCGATCCCGTAAGTCCCACCCCGTCCTCAAGATTCTTGGGACTTCAACACTCGGTACGTATACGCGTACACCGTGGTCCCCGCGCACGCCAGCCATCCCGCGGACGCGTACGTCGACGATTCATTCTTCTGAGTCTCGACTGACTGATTGAATTTCGCTTCC